AAAAAAATTAGAAATAAAAATAATAAAACCTACTAAAATTAATTTAAAAAGAAAAAACAGTAAAAGTAAAAAATAAATTTAAAAAAATTAAAATGCAAAAAATTTTCGTGCTAATTCTAGCCTCAATTTACTTCTTAATATTATCCCCTTTGGCTCAGGAAGGACGACGGGAACTTTTTCCTCGTCTTCACCAAAAGCAGGAAAAATTAACTGACTGCTTTTTAGTAAATGAAGAGAGAATTATTAGCGAGGATTATAGTTCTTAAAGGACACTTCCCACCTAACCCTTTTAAGTGGTCCACAAGGAGAAATAATCAAGATTGCGGATAGACGGGGAGTAAATTATTACCAATTAATTTGTTTTAAAAAAAGGAATAATTCTCCTTGTCGGATTATAGGTAGTGAAAATGAATTGTATGAATGGGGAGTAAAAATCCATATATAAAAAACCGGGAATAAACACTTTTTTAATTAAGAGTGGGTTCGCCATTTTCCTTGTTTCTTTCAGTGCTAAAAATCATTCCGCCCCCTAAGCAAATATTATTACAATAAAAAACCGCATACTGACCAGGAGTAATGGCTCGTTGTTTTTCAGAAAATTCTACTTTTAGTTCCTTAAAATCAGCCAAAGCAAGAATTTTAACCGGAATTTCCGGTTGCCGATAACGAAATTTAGCCATTATTAATTTTTGATTGTTGAAAAAATTAACTAACTCTTGTTCTTTAACTAATCAATTAATATTTTTTACCATACACCACTCACTATATAACCACCTATTATCCCAGCCACTTGCTACATAAACTATATTTTTTTCGATACTTTTCCCCACCACATAATGCGGTTTTTTTTGTCCTTGCAGTCCTAAATTTCGGCGTTGCCCAATAGTAAAATAAGGAATTCCAGAGTGTTTACCAATTACTTTTTTGCTATCAATATCCATTATCTCACCCTCTTTTTTAGGAAAGTAGTTAGCCAGAAAGTTTTCAAATTTGCGTTCCCCAATAAAACAAATCCCAGTCGAATCTTTTTTTTGGGCATTAATTAATCCGACTTTTTCGGCAATTTGGCGAACTTCTTTTTTGGTCAAATCGGCCAATGGAAAAATTATTCTGCTTAATAAATTACGGTCAATTTGGCACAGGAAATAAGTTTGGTCTTTATTATTATCTTTGGGTTTACTTAAATAATACTTCCCACTTTCATGAACTATTTGCGCATAATGACCGGTAGCAATAAAATCTGTTGCAAAATTTTTTTTCACATACTCAACAAAATAGTGGAATTTAAT